TTCCATCTATTTACTGATTTTAATGCCTACTAATTTATGATAACCAATATAAGTTTTTTTTGAATTATATTCATTAACACCATTAAAATAAACGTTTTTATGCTTGTTTTAAAAGAATTGGGACTAAAAAAAAAAAAAAAAATTTTGGGTTTTTGAAAATTTCGGTCGGCGGGTAATGCAAAACGAAAATTTAACTTTGCGTGGCCTTACCGGCCAACCCAAATTTGTTTGGCCTTTTCAGCCAAAAAATTGGCAATTTGGCCAAAAAAACATATGAATTTGGCCGAATTGGCTATTATTGGCTATTTTTGACCATTTTTTTTTGGCCGGCCAAAAACTTTGGCCAATAAAAATTGCCAACACTGCACATATAGATGTTTCTTGTAACTTTAAAATAAAGTTTTACACAAAATTTAAATTTTCTACGTGGAATATATCATGAGTACAGACTATAAATGATATTAAATTATTGCTCATATTTTATGCATAATAATCAGGGAGTGCATAATTTATTTTCGTGAGTGGCAAGCCAAAAAAGGAAATCGAATTTTGTAGTTAAATTAGGTGCGTAAAAATAGAAAAAGTTTAGTTATGGCTATGGCGTTGAAGTTATGAGATACAGTATAGCAATATATTTATGCTTACTACATGTAAATTTCGTCCAGTCATTTTTAATTAGTGCACCAAGGACAATTTAAACTTTCTTTCCTTTTTTTTCTTATGAACGTGTTCTAAATTTTGTGCTCCTTGGCCATTTCCTTTTTAGGAGTTGTATTACAGTACTCGCTAAAATTAGTTGCTTCTTGCGGTATTACTAGTGATGTGCCATTTATATGATGTCCAAATTTTTTTAGCGTACGGTATGTATAGTACGTATAGTACAGTATTTATATAATAAAGTTGCTTTAGTAGTTATATTTTAAATTTTTTAATATTAGTCTATATTACAATTAATATTATTTAAATATTTTTAATAATAGATATTTATTATATCATACTGTATTAGTAATATATTAATAAATGTAGTTTAATATTATTAATTTATTTGAATTATTTTAGATATCGCTTTGAAAAATCATGTGATTTTCGGTGATATTAACTTAAATTTCTCCTTTTTCAGAATCTAGAGTTTCCCTAAGGATAATCGATTTCGTACTAAAAAAAACCTCTCTTATGTGCATAATAACCGTTGCAGAGGATAAAAATACGAGCATAATGGTAGTTGAAACACTAAAATCGGCCCAGTGAGTCGTGAGATAAGCGTAGTTGTCCTCCAGACTATATGATGTTAACAAATTAGTAAACAGATAGTCGTAAAGACAAAAATGCCCATGTCTCACTATTCACTAGGCTGATTCCAATGTTTCAGCTACCATTATGTTCGTAATTTCCTCCTCAGCAACATTTGTTATGCGCACAAGAGAGGTTTGCTTATTACGAAATTGATTTATCTTTAGGGAAACGCCAGATTCCAAAAAAGGCAAAATTACGTTAGTAAACATATCCCTCTTTTCGAGTTGACATTAAGTCAACAGATCGAAAAGGCAATCTAAGCACTGATGCATCACGCATTGACATCCGGTACATGCAAGTGGAAAAGATGAGTATGAATTCAATGAATTACCGATTTAAGATTATGGCGCGGATACTAATATAACCTAAATTCGTTAGGGCAGAATGAGAACGCACGCTGATATAAACTCAGACTGACTGGCAGCCCAACTGCAACCTCCCCTGGAGATCTTGCCGGATTCGCACCTAAGCTTGTTGGTGAAACTAATTAGTTTCACCAAAAAACGGTGCACCAACATTGCACCATCTGGTGCTCCATTGATAATTAGTTTTTCTATAACTATCAGTACACTAGTTTCACCAAAAAATGGTGCACCAACATTGCACCATCTGGTGCACCATTGAAGATTAGTTTCACCAACAAGCTTATTCTCACCCTCCCTACCCCATTTTTATTTGCAAATCCTTCGTAATTACGGCCGGCCTGTATTATGTAGGTGGGAAACCACCGGCCAATGCTATGCATCGCTAGTCTATCCACAAAAAACTCGCGGCCTGCTTTATGCGGGTGGGAAAAAACCGGCTGACGCTACAAATCATTAATTAATTCATACATCAATTGCACCGATGCATACTACGCATCTATTTTAAGCAATCTAATAAAGTTTAATATCCAGCTCTATTTGGGCTGGTGTGCATCCAAACAAATAGATAATCGAGTGCGAGTGGTACTTTTCGAATACAGTAATAAATGATCGGCAAAAATTTCAGCAGTGTCACGTTTGACACAAAAATTTATTTCAAATCTACGATAGGTACGTATTTTTTAATAATTTATAAATTTTTTAGGCTTTTCTAATTATATAAATTCATGTAATTATATCGATATGGCATTACCAAGTAGATGGAGTGTCGAAGATAAATATGATCATTTAAGAGCAGATGGGCTCGCAGTTAGTCACACATGTGAGAATACTTTCATCGTTTCAATATTGTAATTATGAAGTTCGGCATTTCTAGATATCACTAATTTCTATGGCATAACGTAATTTTTTAAGACAACAAGTTTGGTACGATACGAGCAAATTACTCGATTCCTCAACAATGCAAATTGTATTATTTTGAAATTTATATAAATGATGAAGGTGCAAAGTAAGACATTACATGCCTTATCTACAAGTTTTCCGTACAATAATGTTAAATCTAAAAAAAAACTTAACATATATTACTTATTCTTACTTATTTCAAAAAGAAAAATTATAGTCGGATTTTGCTCCAAAAGCGCAAGTCTAAATTGTAAATTGAATTAAAGTTAGAGCCGCTTTATTTTTCATATTCTGAACCTGGTTAATTCAGTTTAATATATGAAAAATAAAGTCAATTTCAAACATTTAACTGAAATTTTATTAACTATATCATTGTATTTTATAGCTTGGGGAAGAGATAGTGTTTTATATGGGTATTATGGTATTAATGGAAAATTTTTTGACGGTACTGATGGTAGTGAACCATATGGGCCGACGGTTTCAACCGGCGATACTATTGGCTGTTGCCTAAACTTTATTGACAATACAATATTCTTTACTAAAAATGGATCACGTCTAAGTACGTATTGTATGTGCGTAATTATTGCATTAGCGTTAATTTTTTGAATATTAGCACTTAATAAAATTTGATACTTATTTTTAAAATTTCAAGAATCCCGAAATTTAGCAATAAAAAAGCTTGAAGGTATCCTGTATCCTTGTGTTGTACTGGGATCTATCGCATCAATAGAAGGGAATTTTGGTAAAAAAAAGTTCAAATATGAAGGTAAATAACACTTAAATATTTATAAGTGATTGATTTACTCTAATATTTTTATCTTGTTTATTTCATAAAAATTTTCTTGATTATAGGAATATATTATGATCAAGCTAATAAGACTTTCATAGACGTTAAATGGTTAATAGAGCAAAAGAAAATTTTTGAGGAAAAAGGATTAGAAAAACAACTAACAGAATCTCAAGATAAGCTAAATAGCTCTCAAAAGGGATTAGAAGAATTAAGAAAACAGCTAACAGAATCTCAGAAAATCATTCAGAGTAAAGAAAATGAGATAGAAGAGAAAAATAAAAATGTATCAGAAATTTTAGACAAATTAAATAATACTCAAAACGAATTAGAAGTATTTAAAAAACAACTAACAGAATCTCAGAAAATCATTCAAAGTAAAGAAGATGAGGTGGAAGAGAAAAATAAAAATGCATCAGAAACCTTAAATCAACTAAATAACTCTCAAAAAGAATTAGAAGAATTAAGAAAACAGCTAACAGAATCTCAGAAAATCATTCAAAGTAAAGAAAATGAGGTAGTAGAGAAAAATAAAAATGTATCAGAAATTTTAGACAAACTAAATAATTCTCAAAACGAATTAGAAGTATTTAAAAAACAACTAACAGAATCTCAAAATAAAGAAAACATACTAAAGAACCATTCTGCAAAATTATATGACAAGAAATCTGATATAGATGAAAAAAGCGAAAGATCAACTCTACAAAATAGACAGGCTGAATTTCTTAAGAAGAAGGTGAAAGATCTCAAAGAAAATGAAACAACGTTACAGAATGAACTAAAAAAAAAAGAGCAGGTGATAAAAGAAGCAAAAGAAAAAGGCAAAGAATCAGAAAAAAAATTACATGAACAAATTAAAGCACTACAAATAAAATTAAAAAAAAAAGAACAGGAAATAACAGTAGCAAATGAAATACGCAAAGAATCCGAGAAATTACATGAACAAATCAAAACACTACAAATACAAATAAAAGAAAAAGAGTATGAGCTGTCAAAAGAGAAAGAAATATGTGAAAAAAAATTAAAAGAAGGAAAAAGATCTAGTGAAGCGTTGGAAAAACTACACAAAGAATTGACTAAAATTCTTGTTGCACAAGCAGAATATAAAAAAGATATAGAGGCATTAAAAGAAAAATTAGAGGATCCAAATGTAGAAAAATCCGAAATTTTATCAAAAATTGACGAATTAGAGATCCTTTTTAGTGGAAAAATTGCGGATGCGAAAAGCATAGAAAAGAGAATGGATTTGGTGAGAAAAAATCCAGATGATATGGCAGATGAGCTACGCAAAATACTTGAAAGCATAAAACCAACAAAAGATGGTCTTTCTAGAGAAAACACTTTACTAGAGGATATTTTCAATTTTTATGGCTACGGGAGAGTAGAAAATCATAAAAAGTTGAAAAATCTTTCTATTAAAATTGGATATATAAAAGCAAATTTATTCTCCTGTCCTAAATTAAAACCTCATAAAGAAGAAATTATTAGAAAAACTGAAGAGTTTTGTAAATTAGTTCCTATGCGAAAAGAAATAATTCAAAAATTTACCAACAAAATTGAGCAACTAGAAATGGAAAAAATTAAAGAATGTAAAAAAACGATTGAACTAATAGAAATTAAGTTAAGAGAATGTGAAAAGTTACTAAATCTTTCGATTGAAAAAGTTCCTAAATGCCATCGTTCCCTATTGGAAAAAAATAATCATACTTTAACTACCAATATAACACTTAATAAATATCTAACCAAACATGAAATTGAAGAAATTATTCAAGAACGAAAGAAAATTTCAGAGCTAGAAGACGAATTAAAAGAAAAGAAAGATGAGTTAAAAAAATTGGAAGAAAAAATTAGTGAAGGGACAAAAGATAAAAGACAAAATTCTCTGGAAATTTAAAGTATCAAGCTTTAATATAAATACTTTCAATGTCTTGGATGTATAAATATTCGCAACAAATGAAGCAAGAGTTTTCATATTATTTAGAAATGATGAAAACATTGCTTTGTCACTTTGAGAAGATAATGAACCTCTAATTAAACTGTCGGACTTGAGAAAATCCGAGTTAGAACGTGAAATGGATGAGTATTAAAGTCATTTAATTAAATATCACGATACATTAGTAATAAAGATATTCTTATTCTAATGCAATGAAAGACAAAATCGATTCTCAAAAAAGTCCTCAATGTATTACATTACATAACAAAAGAAATAGTATTGCTATAGTATTGTGTAATATTTATTATAGCACACTTCACTTATTCACGGTTTAATAACATGTTTTTAATTAAAACGTCGAACTTTTTTTTAAAAAAATCTGATCATTATATATATCTATTTTTCTATTTTATCTTTTATTTATTCATTCTATTCATAATTTGAATTTCTTTCTAAAATAAACCATTTTTTGATGTTTAATTGAATTTTTTTTTATTCATTATTACATAATATAACATAATATTGCTAACGCTAACACTATAAATCTTAATTTAAGACAAGAAAAGTGTGTAAAATTGATATGTAATATCAAAGACAAAATTTATCTGTTTCGCCTGCCAAATTATTGTGCACTATTATGAAAAATGCGGTATTATATAGTTATTGGATGTTCCGTATCTAATAACGGATTTATTTTCAAAATAAATAAATCATATGAGCTTAACTGAATCTATTTGGAGTATAGAACCGTTATACGGCCTATATTTACTATTAAAACGAACTATAATCAGTGTTTAAAATCTATATGCGGAATCTGCGGTGCGCAGATTGAAAATTAATTCCGCAAGTAAAATATTCTTTGAATTTGCGGATTTTATTATGTGTTAAACATGTCACGCTGAATTTTTGTTGAATTTTTATTATGTTTACAAAAATTTTCAAGCTTTCCGCACATTGAAACAAAATCGAATTTTAAACACTGATTGCGACCCGATAATTTGGGGATCCTCCCGTAAAAAACAAGATTATTTTACCAATTAATTCACCGACAAGTTCATTCACCAACAGTTTATTTCACTGACGACTCATTTCCCTGACAAGTTTTTTTATAAGCTACACTAGCTTTAACTCTAATTCAAACCTGACCTTAATAACAATATCCAGAATTACTTTGTCTGTGAAATAAGCTATCGGTGAAATAAACTGTTGTGTTTTTAAATGAACTTGTCGGTGAATTAATTGTCGATAAAATAATCCTGTCTGTAAATTAATTGTCGGTGAACTAAGCTGCCAGTAAACGAAACAAATAATGAGTAATTTGAACACATAGATACGTAGCTTCTGTGATTAAAAATTTTTTGTTACAATGCAGACAAATCAAGTAATGCAACAATACTGATTAAACTTTTGTAGAGGGCTAAAACGACATCTAATAAATGCCGGACATCAAAAAATATCGTTTTTGATCTATCTAAATTAATAATAAAAACAATTACATTAAATAACTAATATAATTCTCTTATTTTACTATTGTTCCTTGGTCGCAATAATTATGCATCAAGAATGACACTTTGGATGTCCGGCATTTATTATATGTCCTGGCTGACACTTCATATAACGTGATGAAGTTTGTATTTTTTTTACTCCCCAGCCCTTTCTTATTATAAAGATAATAATAAATAATAATAATAATAATAATAATTGGTCAAAGTCACATGAATCATTATCTTATATGATAAATCATAGTACAAGAAAAATTATAACTAGACAAATAATGCTAAGCTAATGGCTTCTTTACAGATAAATATGTTTGAATTTTTCATCACTCACTAAAAACATCAAACCCCTGCGACGAAGTCGCCACATGTGCAAGCCCTAGTTACAAAACAAAAAAAATCATGCCACAGAATTACGAGAAACAAGAATAATCTAAATTGCTACAATATTGTTTATTAAATTTCATCGTCAACTTTAATCTGTTGTGTACGTTTGCGCAATTTGGAATCTTTTTTATCATCATCTGTCTGTATCGTAGAGTTATATTTATTGAAGTCTTTTTCATCTTTATCCTCATCGTCTTCATCATCATCATCAATTCCATCATCACCATCATCTTCCTCATCATCAATTCCATCATCACCATCATCGTCATCGTCATCGTCATCGTCATCATCAACTCCATCATCTTCTTCATCATCAACTCCATCATCGTCATCATCAACTCCGTCATCATCATCTTCTTCAACTCCTTCATCTTCTTTATTATCAACTCCATCATCATCATCGTCGTCATCATCGTCGTCATCATCGTCGTCATCATCATCATCATCATCATCATCAACTCCATCATCATCCTCTTCATCTTCAACCCCACCATATGTTCCATCTTCAACTTCACCATCTATTTCATCATCATCATCATCTGTCACTGGTGTAGATGGTAAGATAGCAGTTGTAGATGTTACGATAGCAGTTGTAGTAGTGGGTACAGTAAGCGCGCGAATGTGATATTTATATGCTTATGACATGTGATAACAAGAAAATTAGTATTAACATTTTAAAAAAGAACTCAGAACAAAATAAATAAATACATACGAGATCTTGCAAGAATAATAGTTGGCAAGATTAAAAAAAGTATGAAAAATTTAAATAGCATGTTTAAAATTTAAAGATTTAGGAAATAAAAAGTTTTTTTTTGTTTTTTTTTTGTATAATTGTGTAAATTTTTGCGAAAATTTTATGTAGATTTTGGTATCTTGAAGGTTTTTGAGGAATGGTTGGTAGCTAGTATTTTATATCTTTTTTTCCGAATATAAATTACGAAAGTAACAGTAACTTTATTACAAATTATAAAGTAATATAAATAATTGAAAATCAGGATTCTATATTATTAAAAGGAGCTATTAATCTTGAAGACGAGGGTTTTTGCATCTTGCGTTATCTATTCTAAAATCAATATGCATAACTATAGATAAACCCAATTTTTATTGACGCGTTCAACTACGAAGTCGGCTTCTCAAGATATTATTCTCTCGAATTAGTAAAAAAATTTAATACTACAAGAGTATGATAATAAAGTGGCAAATGATCCATAAATAACTTTTAATTATAGTTATATTACTAATTCAAAGTGAGCAACATATTTAGTTGCATCAACGTTAAAATTCTCAGGAGTTAATTATTATGAACGGTTAACGAACAAACTTCCATTAATAGCTACTACTAATATTAAGATCGCGTGAAACTTATTAGAAATAATGAAATATCATGTTACACTATTAATTAATAAAAATTAATTACTCCATTCAACCTTATTATTTACTATGCAAATTAATGCTTAACGTTAAAAGTCAATAGTACTGTATTTAGTTATAGTTTTTTCCATCACACTTAAAAAAATCTAGAAACATTGTATAAAATATATTACGAAAATTCCAGAAGAAAAAATTCAGACTATACTAATTTTGGTAATAGGTTTTATATATTCGAGAAAAAAAACTGTTAAAAATAGTTATCGCTTTTAACCGTTTGATTGTGCGATTTTAAAGCGATTTTCTTGACAAAAGTTCAATGAAAATAAAATATATTTATAAGTTATGACTTTCTTATATCTATATACTCAAAATAACATTTATATTCTCAAATATCACTTCCCACAATCGCTCGCGATCGAGATCAAAGATACATCATTTTGCAATAAACAATAACAAGAATTTAAAGCAACTCCTTGAAATGTTTCAATGATTTATCGAATGTCAAAGAATCAATCATATGAATTAATTTTGAAGGGGTTTATTAAACTGATAAGATTAAATTGATAAGATTATTAATTAATGAAATTTGATTAAAAGTTTTATTCTGCGCAAATATATAAAGGTTTAAAATTTTTATTCGCCTGTAAGAATACGCCACAGAAATTTTTCGTAAAAAACCCTTAAATTATGAAGCCATCAATGCATTTTAAATTGTTTAAAATTGTTTAAATTATTGCTTAAAATTTGACGTAAGTATCCTGTTTTTTTTTCGCGAAATTGGCGACACAAGCTACAGTAAATGGGGCTTGTTTCATACATAAAAAGAAAATTCTTACAAGAAAACTTATTAATAGGAAATACTTATGTTGCACATAGATGAGTTTATTTCTCTCGATTATTTTAATTAATTTGTCCATTTTTGTTATCCGGTCTTGATATTTAAATTTCTTTAGTATACTTTTTAATTGGATGTTAATAAGACAATTATGCACATCCTTAGGGCAATGACTCCCAGTTAATATATTTAATATTTTTAATTAAAATTAAACCGAGGTAAGACTTTTTTTTCCTTACCCCTTCCTCCAAAATATTAGTTAACATATGTCATTGCTCTTATTTAAAAAAATTAAACTTCTTAAAGCATTATTATCATTATACTGTATATAGTATTAGCTATATCTGAAATGATCAGGAGCCTACGACTACGTATATTCCACGTAATCACCTGGATCTATTTGAGTAATTTTGCTTAAAATTAGTATCCATTTTGCTTTACGTACGTACAGTATCGGTATGTAACTCCTGAATCAATAGTAATTATTAAATGTTGTATCGGTATATCAATGACTCAAGCTTAACAGCTGTCCTACACTGTTTAGTGCGTCGGGACGCGTCGAGTGTAGTCCAGGCTTACATGAGCAGAACATTTTCCTGCATTGCGAATACAAAGTAAATTTTCAATTGTATAATAGAATTAGAAATTTTATTATATTCGCAACACAGGAAGATGCTCTCCTCATGCAAACCTGGGCTACGCTCGATGCACCCTGACGCACTAAACAAGGTAGGGCAGCTGTTAAAAATCGAAAAAGACCTCTGCTGATTCATAATAATGATCAAATCTGCAGATAGTATACCGATAGAACAAATATATATAACTTTACCATTTTTGTACAGGGAATCGACAGTTTGAGATTTATTGATTAC